GAAACCCCTACCCCGGCTTGGGCCCCGGGGATCCCCGAGTGACAACCGTGGTTATAACTCCTGTGTGACATAGTCGGGAGGGCCCTCGCTCACGCGGGGGCCGATGCGCTCGACAGGTGGCGCCGTTGCCGGGGATGACGGCGAACTACCGTCGTCCCTGGTGGAACGACACTCGGAAAAAGGATGGTTATGGTGATTTTAAGCATTGTGTATTATTTGTTTGGATTGAAAGCAGTCAGTGGTTATTAATGTCTGGGTCGCACGAGCCATTCGTGAGGCTGATAATCAGAAGGTACAGTTGCCGAAGGTTCAAGTTCCCCTCTTCGATGGCACCAGTGCCTCAGCATGGGCGGACAAGTTTGAACAATTGGGCAGTTGTTGCGAATGGTCGAGTGAGAAGATGCTTCAAATGGTGAAGCGATATTGTATGGTTGAGTACAAAGAGGAGGTGTCGGGGTTGGTGCAAGCTTTGCGCGACTGGCCGGACTTCAAGGCCAAATTATTGGACAAGTACCAGTTGGGGGATCAACTGCTCGATCTGGCGGACTTACGAAAGGTTAGTCGTCGGAAATTTGGTACGGCCAAGCAGTTTCTTACGGAGTTTGAGCGGGTTGCGCGCTTAGTGCCTGACCTTCCAGATAAGGATCGGTGCCTTATCTTCCTCGAAATTTTTTCAGAAGTTGAGCAGCGAGAACTGATGAAGGACATGACTGGGCGATACGACTGACCAAAGATAAAGGAAAATCTGTTGGCTGGAAGTTTTGACCAAATGCTTTACCGTCTCTTGAAGCAGCAAAAGGAGGACCGTGAGAAGGAAGGGGTAAGCGCGGACAAGGATCAAGCCGTTTACAAGACCCTGACTGGCATGCGAAACATGATGGCGGACATGAAGGAGGAAAGGCTAAAGCTATAGGTGATGATGGTCCAGACAAAAGGTGGGAAAAGGAAGGGCAAATCACACGTTGTGGAGGAAGTGAGTGGTAGCAACAGTGAAGAGGAAGACGAGGAGGAAGAGGAGCCTCCTCGAAAATTGACCAAAGCAGAACGGAAGGCCCTGAACCAGACACGAGGAGGGCAGGGCACTAGTAAGAAGCAGCGGAAGAATAATGGAGGAGGTGGACAAGGAAGTAATCAAGAACAGGCAGCTCCAGCCCCTCCTTAGCAACCCCAACCTCAGGCAGGAGGCCGAGGCCGAGGTCGAGGTAGAGGACAAGGCACTGGGGGAGGCCGAGGAAATGGGGGCGGCCGAGGCAATTGGCAAAATTGGTTTTGCAAGTATTGTGGCCAAGATGGGCATGGGATACGGTTTTGTCAGACCGTTACCAAAGATAAAAACGATAAGGTTATATATACGAATATCCGAGGCGAGGTCTACGACTTCGAAGGGAATCTCATCGATCCCAATGTGGAGGGAGGAATGAGAAAGGAAGTTTTCCGACGTATGGGGCGAGATCTTCCAGCAACTTTTCGACTGGCTTCTCCGGAAGAGGTCGAACAAATTGAGTTGGAAGCAACGATGGAGTCATTGACAATTGAGGATACTAAGGTCGGAAATGAAGGTTTGAGCAAAGGGCAGGAAAATATACTGCAACGAGCTCAGACAGTGGTCGGAAAAATGAAACGATGCAGGGAAACTTTCGTTCGAGTATGTGCCGACATGGATGAAGAGTGGCCCGGGCTTCCCCAAGTTTTTCTGTTTGGAGGATGGGAAAGAGACGGCCAAGGAGGTCTTACTGATGGTACCGCATCACAGCCTGGATCGCCGTCGGCAGGGCGTTTGATGGCCACCACAATCTTGTCCCGTCCTGCTTTCAAGCGACCTGCCATAACTGGCCTCCCACAAACTCGGAGGGCTCGAAGGCCGTCGCGGCCAAGGGCAGCACCGGAAGAAGGGCCAAGTCAGCCTCGGAAAACCGAGACGATTTCGATTGAAGAAGACGATGGCGAGGAGGATGAATTGCTGCGAGCCGAAGATGATAGGCAGGCCAAACAACGAGCCATGGAGAGGGAGCCAGAAATGGGCAAGGCCGACGTTGGGGAAGGAGAATTGAAGAAGAAGAAGCAAGTTTACACAATCCCAGTAGAGCAGGGGCTGGATATTGAGCAAATCGTGGACCGGATTTTGGAAAGCCAACGCGATTTGTTCATGCTCAAGGAGTTCTTGGCCGCCTCACCCAAAATCCGAGAGGAGTTCAGACACCGATTGTCAAGAAAAAAGGTCATGACGGTTAAAATGAGTGATATCTTTCCCCAAGAGATTAGTTGGGCTCCTCCTGGGACAAAAATGGACTGACACTGTGTAGCAACTGGGTTATTGAAGGTGCAAGTTGGGCCGTGTGAGTACTCGGCTCTCATCGACGATGGAGCTGAAATGAACATTATACGTGAAAGAGAAGCCCGGGGGGCAGGGGTCAATATCAAACGAGCAGATACTGGATTTCTGGTGGGTGCAAGTGGGATAACTCCCTTTTGTGGAACGGCAAGTGACGTGACGGTACAGGTTGGTAAAGTCAAAGTCCGTTCTTATTTCTATGTGCTACCCAGGGTAGAGCATGCCGTGTTGCTGGGCAGAGCTTTCCTATGTCGATCAGAATCCATCATCTTTAACAAGCATGATGGTACTATGATCGTGGTTTTGTGTGACCCCATATGCGGCTATTACGAGGTGATGAAGTGTGAGAACACGGGACCATCCAATTCAAGGAACCGACTCAATCCGGGTCCTATTCCTTCACGGAGTCTGAAAGGCTCAGGAGGGAGAAGGAATCCCTCGGAGAAGAGAGCGATCCCCAAGAATTCTCTCTTGCTCTGCCCAACATCTCTCAAGCGATCGAGTTCGTTGCGACGGACTCGTCCGTGGACCCCAAGTTGGTCCAAACGCTGACAGAGATTGTGGCAGGAGAAGGCGGGACAGGTAGAATGTATCTTACTTATCGGCCCGACAGGCCTTCGGAAGGTGATGTATTGACGGAGCCAGCAACCAAGCAAGGGCCTTTTTTAGGGGTGGACGACTTGAAGTCGGAGCGAAACGTAAGTACAAGAGAGTAGGTGAGAAAGCCCGGCCAGTGCCCGTCTTGATCACGCAAGAAGAAAAAGTGTATTATAAGGAGGAGAGAGAATGGATCAGGACGAGGAAAGAAGAGAGTGCGAAGGCCCCGTGTCGATTGACGGAGGAGAGGATTAAGAATATGATCATTGGAGAGGAAGGGTCGCTTACTGAAAAGGAGGTGGACTTCCTTATCAGTGTCATGAAAAAAACTCATCTGGCTTATGCCTTTGATGATGATGAGCGAGGGAGGCTTGACGTTGACATGATCCCAATTATCAGAATTCATACGGTACCTCACGAGCCGTGGAACATACGAGGTCCGCGTTATTCAAATCCGGATGATCACCGTAGAGTCGTTGAATATTTGGACGGTAACATTCGGACAAAGGTCGCGGATTACTCGTATGGACCATATGCGTCCCCTTGGTTTTGTTTCATCAAGCCAAGTGGCGTATTGCGATGGGTGCAGAATCTACAGAGGCTGAACTCCGTGACGGTTCGTAATGCCGGAGGACTTCCGCAAGCCGATCAACTGTCTGAGTCGTGCGCAGGCAGGCCTATCATCACTCTCATTGATTTGTACTCGGGATATGATCAATTCCCTCTCTACACGGCAGACAAGCCGATGACGGCCATGCATACGCCGAGGGAATTAATTCATATGTGTGCGGCGCCTCAGGGATGGACGAACGCCGTAGCAATTGTTCAGAGATATATGATGAGAGTCATGCAACCACTTTGTCCGGACGTGACCTCACCTTATATCGATGACTTGGCCATACCTGGACCGCGCGTGAAGGATGAGACGGAGGTGCTGCCAGGCGTTCGAAAGTTTGTTTGGGAGCACGTCCGTAACGTGGAGAAGGTCATGTCCAAGTTAAAGGAGTACAACCTCACCGCCAGCGGTGTCAAATCTCGACATTGTATGCGTAAGGCAACTATCTTGAGCTTCTTGTGCGATGAGAAGGGCCGTCGGCCAGATTCCAAGAAGACAAACAAGATTCTGGAATGGCCGACTCCGCTTAAGTCCATCACTGATGTGCGCAGTTTTTTTGGGACTTGCGGATTCTGGCGCATCTTCATTCGCAAGTTCGCCGTAAGGGTGGACCACCTACGGAAGTTGATGCGTAAAAATCAGGAATGGGAATGGGGTCCAAAGGAGCAGGCGGCAGTTGACGATACCAAGACACAATTCCGAGAAGGAGGGTTGATCCTGGGGGTTCCGTACTTTGACAATGACCCGAATCGGCCCTTTGTGGTTGAAACGGATGCAGGCCCCACAGCGTTGGGTGGAATCCTCATCCAAAAAGATGGAGAAGGGCGAGAAAGGCCATTGAGATTTGAAAGTCGAACGCTGAATGAGGCGGAACGAAAATATTCCCAATTTAAAAAGGAAACCCTTGCAGTGCTTCATTGTTTCAGGATCTTCCGAAACTACGTGTTTGGAAGACGGTTCGTCCTGCGGGTTGATCCGACCGCCCTGGCGCAGTTATTGAAGAATTATTCTCCCTCGGATCCAACCATTGCTCGATGGTTGATCTATATCTGGATGTTCGATTTCGAGATCGAGCGTATTGCAAGAGCGAAAAATCGAGCAGATGGATTGAGTCGGATCGAGTGGGACTCCTCGAAAAATCAGGCAGAAGACTCAGTTCCTGTGGATGGGTTCTTGGAGGCGGACGAACAACAATTAAGTATCAATGTTTGGGAGTACATCACTAATGCCTCGTCCCGACCTGGGAAGTCTATCTGGAGTTCGCCGAGTTGTTATCAAAGGCGTTCAGAACTTGTAAGGAGAGAGCCCTTTATTGAGGAGGATCCTTGGGGCAAACGATCTGCTGAGCAAATGATGAGGTTGGCATTGTCGGATCCGGTACGACTGTCAGAAGAGTCATTTACGATTGAAGGAGGATATGAGCAAGGCGACGAAGTCCTCAGGACCTCCGGGGGAATGGTATTTCTCGTTTATTCATTAATACAAGAAGATCGCAGCAAGTTAATATTGGAAGAAGGCGAAGGCATTGGGATCAAAGAAGCCTTTCGCGAGGAAGAATATGATAGGACTTATAAGAAAATTGGGTTTTGGTTGAATGGGGACCTGAATGAGGCAGAGATAGAGCCAAAAATACGAGAAAAGGCAAAGGGTTTTGTCGTTCGACAGGGGCATCTCTTCAAAAAGTCTGACGATGGTACGCCTAAGAGAGTGGTGTGTGGGGTTCCCAGACAGTTGGATGTGATTGCGGCCCTACATGATGGAGTGACAGATGGACATCGATCTGCTCGAGTGACATTAAGAAAGATTCAACATCTCTATTTTTGGGATGGTTTGGGTAGGATGGTGGTGGAATTCTGCAACTCGTACATCCCCTGTCAGAAACGTTCAAATCTCCGTTATGCTGAGCCACTTAATCCACGATATGTGGTTGAGCCAGGGGCGGTTGTGCACCTCGACCTGGTCGTTATGCCACCCGGACTTAATGGGTATAGGTACATATTTGATGCGAGAGACAATCTTACCGGGTTTGTTGATGGGCGTGCAATCCGTGAGCGAACCGGAAAGATTTTGGCGGAGTATATCGAAGAGTTTTACCTTCGGTACCCATTTGTTCGGGAATTTGTGATGGATCGAGGCGGCGAATTTCGGGCAGCAGAGGTTCAGGCTCTTATGANTATCGAAGAGTTTTACCTTCGGTACCCATTTGTTCGGGAATTTGTGATGGATCGAGGCGGCGAATTTCGGGCAGCAGAGGTTCAGGCTCTTATGAAAAGACTGGGAGTGAACTATAGTTACACCACTAGAGCACATCCCCAGGTTAATGCTCTGGTCGAACGTGGGCACGCCACCTTGACTAATTTGCTAGCCAAATGGTGTGCTGGCAAGCCGTCAACATGGTCCGTCTATCTCAGAGCTGCCATATTTGTTGAAAATATAACTGTGAAAGGAACTACTGGGTATGCTCCGGTTACGTTATGGTTTGGACGATATGCTACATTTCCAATTGAGAGTTTTCTGACCACATGGCAGAAACAGGATATGAAGGCCATGCTTTCTACAGAAGAGTTGCTGGACCTGAGGGTCAGACAAATAAAGGCGACCAAGGAAAGAGTTGTAGAGGCTGCTGCTTCAACTGCGGACAGTAGACGGGCGGACAAAGTTAGATGGGATAAGCAACCCCGGGTTAGAAAGGAGCCGTTGGAAGTTGGGGATATTGTCCTCCTCTATGGCTCTTCTCTTGAAAAGCAGTGGTCGAGGAAATTAGATAATCGATGGATGAGGCCATCATTAAGAAAACAGAGCATGGGGCATACGAGATTGAGGAGATGGATGAAGTACGTGGGCGAGATTGGGTTTCAGGCTCACGCTTGAAGAAGTTTGCCTTACTTTTCTTAACAGACGTTGATATCCCTGACTAACTTCATTTTACGACTAAGTATTTGTAGGATATATTTTCCATGTAATGGACAGACACATATGGACTTGTAATGAATTACTTGTTGACATCATTTTTGACATTATTCTTCGTTCTCAAACAAGATAATTGATGTGCATAATGATTTTTCAAACCCTATAATAATGATTCTCTAAGTATGCATCTCTTTTATTTCTTATGTTGAATGTGTTTTGCTTGTGAAGGATGAGTGTGAATCATTTGTGCAAAGTTATGATTTAACATGTAAAATGTGTGTAAAATTTTGGAACATGTGACTTTCCGAACGATAAGTATTCGTTCTGTAGGCACATGGTTTAATAAATATAATAATTTTATATGTAATACCTAGTCTTTATTGTGTCTTGATATTCCTGAAAAATGTGAGCCTTGTACGTGGTAGTGAGACTCGTGCCGGAACTTGGTTCCTGGTCCACAACGAGATGATGTAATTTTCCTTGAAAAAGGGCGATGGCTACACTATCTCCGAAAAGGAGGATGGTGTCGTAATCCTGTTGAGACCTTGCCTATGGTGGGGAGTGGTCGCTGCTTATCACAGGGGTGGGGTTGGTCGTCTATCCTTATGTTATGCAGGGTCGCCGCGTCCTTATGATCCTCGTCTGACCAACTTGGACTATATGGATGGGGTTGTCTCGCCCTGTAGACGTGGCATTAACAGGGTTGCGATACTGGAATCGGAGAGAATGTGGTGAGGCTCGAATCTAAAGCGGGGCTTGATGTCAAGATGTTATCCTTTGTGGAAGATTACACCACTCCTCGACGCAGTCGCATAGAATTCGGGGGTACTAAGGCATAAAAATCCTAGGTATTTGTAAAATTGCACAATCGGATGGGTTATGAAACTCGGGTAAAGGACTTAAATAATGGGTTATTGTATTGGATGGCTAGTTCAGATTATGTCTGAACAATTATCATAGGTTGGGTTATGGAGACTTGTCAGGGGTTATTCCTGGCTCATTCTGGGAATTAGCTGAAGGTTAATACGGATCTTCCAGAAGGGATGGTGGAACACCGAAGCCTTGCTATTATTATCTCCGACAGCCGTGACTGTAGTACAGTACGAGTATCCTTGTGTTACGTGAGAGGCCCATGTTAAACTCCTGGCAACACATGAGTGTGTTGAAGTGTCGTGGATGCATCCCCATGGACATGAGAGACCCGGGTTAAATTCCCGCAAGTAATGGTTGCTTGCCCAGATGATTGAAATATTGATTTCCAACCGAATGAATTTTGTTAGCCAGAACCATGAAAACTAAGTCCTTTGAATTTTGGGCTTCCAGGGGCCGAATCTGGGCCTTAGTTTCAAAATTTTGGGCTTCCAGGGGCTGAATCTAGTACCCAACCGATGAATGCAAAATGATTGTAAATTTTGGCTTCCAGGGCATAACTCGTTTAATGGTAAGGAGTCCGTTTTTTCGGATATTCGTTTGTTAAAGTATATGCGATTTTATTAAGATTGAAAGATACTAAGAGAGGTATTTGTAAAAATTTATATTGAGAAATACCGACCACGTGAACGACGTGGAAGTCGTTCAATGGGGCCCGGAAATGCTCTCGGGGCAGAAACCCTGACAAGGGTATCTGCCCGTGTTTTTCAACGTCGGACGCTGTCTGAACTTCTCGCTTAATTAGAAGACTTGATGAGATTAACGTTGCCAGAGTTTATCCAGACTAGCGCTATGACTGAAAGACTTGAACGTTTTGAACCTGATGTCGTCAACGCAGGACGACACCGACATCCGTGCGGGATAACGGGGGTCGGCACTGTCGTCCGCGGGTTCCGACGAGGTCGCGCTGGTGTGCGGTCGTGGGAAAACTAAAGTTGGGCCCACTCTACCTATAATAACAGCCGCGCGATTCAGGGCCTAAGCGGGCCAAGAAGGGGTCGCCGCGGCAAGATGGACCGCGGCGTGAAGGGATGGCTTAGGGTCCATACGGCTTTTGCGCCAAGGACCCGGGGGCGAAGGCGTCGAGGCCGGCTAAGTACGGCAGCTGTTAAAGCTGTCGACCGCCGACCCCGCCCGCCGGCCACGGCAGCAAGCTGGCTTAGCAGGCGCAGCCTGCTAAGCGTTGGGAATGGGTCTGCTGGGCATTGGACGCCCTTCATAGAGAAGGGCTGCTCCTTTTCTGATGTGAAAAGCAGCTAGCCCAGTAGGTACAGTCGCCAGATTACCACCTCGCAGGCATGGGGATCGAACCTGACTAACTGCACTACCGGGCTAGCTCCTTTTGGAACGGCCCACGACTAGACAAGGGGTACGGCCGACTTTCGGCCATGCGATCTTCGAGATCGCACGGCTGAAATCAGTCGCGCCGGGGTGAAATGGCCTCTGCGCAAGGATGACACGCATAAATCGCGGAATGGTTAAAAAAAAAAAAAAAAAAAAAAAAGTTTTAAAATTTTATCGAATACATATGGATTCGAACC